AACATCAACATATAATACTATCACAACTAGGGAAAACAAAATACAATGCTAGTTATTACCATGAGAATATTTTTCCACAAATGCACAATCAATGGATTGTGAAGTTCAAAGTGTGCACTCTTGTCCTTGATTCTTTGTGTCGAGCATTAAATTGTTGAAAAGAGACGTGATCTCGCGGTGCTGGAGTAACCGATGAAGCAACAAACTGAACATCATTCCTAATTGGTGCGCTAAGTTTACGATGATCTTCAATATTCATATTGTGAAAAATAATACATGCTTTCATTATATCGTCGAGCACCTTGTAAATAAAGAAATTTTGTGACCAATCAAATGCGTATTTATAAATTCAATACACGAAAATTGTTGTTACACACCTATTTTTCCAAAAACAAACAGGACTTGCAACGATTGCAAATCTTTTTTGCAGAACTCCAAATGCACGCTCAATGTCCTTCTACATGCCTCTTGTCCCGTTTTGAAGAATTTCACCATTGAATTTGATGGTGCAACAAAAGACTGAACAATAGTGGACCATTTCGGATATATACCATCTGCTGAATAAAGTCCATATTAAATTATTTACCATGAATTGTATAATTAGGTGGTGAAGCGATACCTTCAGTAATACTTGACATTAGAGGTGCTCCTTCCAACACATTGATGTCATTATAGGTACATGACATACCAAAATATGCATGTCATATCCACAAATCATATTCTACCACGACTTCCAAAACGATCGTTGATTTTCAAAAACGACTAGATACTGACCAGCCCATGTCTTAAGGCAATTGTCACATTTTCATTGCATACAGTCCAAGCTACCTAACATATCATGCAAACCACGTTGTTCACCTATATAATAAAATAATAATTAAGTGTAGTATATGGTGAACAAGAATAATTAAAACTGTTATTTTCTCTTATATCAAGGAATAAATATATATACTAAAATAAAATTTTTATTAGTGTAAATGTGTTAGTGAAATAATATATTAATTATTTTACAATCTATCCCTAACATGATCATATATAATGTTCTGGCTAAAAAAAAAACTTTGATTAAAAGAAGTGAAAAATAGATTATAACTCTATTGTTTTTTAGACTTAACGCTGATTAAAATAGGTGGGAAATAGATAATAACTCTATTTCTTTTTAGTCTTAAATTGACTAAGCCTGTGAAAATAACTCATTTAATATCTTTGTCTCGTGCATCACACGGAGTACGTACTAGGCGTTTGGAGGTTTTGCGCCGAATGGAGAGTTATAGCATTCTTCCCGAGCCTTCACTCGTGCAGGGGCGGCTATTCCTCGCTTCGATACTCGGTTGATCTATTGGTCCCCACCGGATCTGGCGTGGTTTAAAGTTAATACCGATGGTGCATTTGATTCGTCGTCGGGGTTAAGTAGTGCCGGGGGCCTTATTCGGGATGCTTTGGGTGCCTGGTCTATGGGATTTATGATGAATATAGGTGTCTGTACCATCACAGGGGTAGAATTGTGGGCCCTCTTTCAGGGTCTTCAGCTTGTGTGGGCTAAGGGTTGTCGTCAAGTGGTTGTGGAGGTTGAAAGCCAGAGTGTAGTCCACTTGATCCTGGACCATAGTAGTGTTGCCGAAACCCATGCGGCCTTGGTTCAGGCTATTCGTAATTTGCTTCAGCAGGAGTGGTCTATTCGCCTTTGCCATGTTCTAGAGAGGCCAACTTCGCGGCCGATCATTTGGCGAGCTTAGCTTCTTCATTCCCAATTGGTCTTCATGAATTGGTTGCTCCTCCCCCGAGCTTGGGGGCTTGGCTTGAGCACGATATTATCGGGCTTTCCTACCCGACAAGTTCTAGTTAATTAGCACTTAGGCCTACGGCCTCCTTTCTTGTACCAAAAAAAATAATTCTTTGTCACGACTTGTTTTATAAACATGGTAATTGCTCCTTTTTGTAATCCATGTTTAGTTTATTATATTCATTTAAGCCTCGTTTACTTTCAGTGATATGATACGATAAATAAATTTGTCAACACATATCATTTGTTTACTTTATATGAAAGGGATATGACTCATCTTATTTAACACTCATGTGGCATGCGGGTTCCAGACACTATCTTCAATTTGCTGATAAAATGTATCCCGTGGGTTGAGGCCGGATACAATTATCCCATTCTTTACAATGCGGATCCCACGCACTATCTACAATTTTTTACAATTATCCCACAAAATAATTATGGGACTATTTGCTGACATGTAAATTTAGCTTCATTATCCTATCATATCTCATCCCACAGTAAATGAGGCCTTAGAATTGCCCTAAATTATGTGGATATATGCTTTATTTTTATTGTGTTGTTCTAAGAGAGAGAGGGAGCTAAGATGTTTAAAATAAAATGATTCACAATAGATGATTTTATCAAATAACACAACAACAATCTAGATTGCGCCAATGTTCTTGAGGCCTAGCACAACCCCAACCCCGATGATGTGGCCCACAACTCCACAGGCCAATGTATCCGCCAGAGTGAAGCCTGCTGGATCGCCCGTCTGCAGGCCCGAATCCCTCGCCTCCAGCTTCAGCCCAGCTGTAGCCTTCCGGTTTGCTGATGGGGCCAGCCCAAACCGGCCCGCGAACAACATCAGGCTTGTTGATGTAACCATGATCTGCAAATGCAACCCCAAGAATAAAAGTTAAAAATAATAAAAAAAACTATCCATTCATTTCATTTTTTTTTTACTTAACCTTACTCGAAATTTTTATACAATTTCTAAATTATAAATAAAACAGTCAATGTTCACTTATTTGTAAATCTAAACATTCATTACCGCACCTATTATATTTATTTATGTCTCACTTGTATATATTAAAATCTATATATATATAATTACTAGCTAAATAGCATTTAAGAAAACCTATTTAATAAAACCTTTAAAATTTTCCCTCCATTTTCGGTTACAACTTTATAATTAATGTTTTTTATTTCTCACATTAATACATCCTATTGAGTGTAATCATGTATTTTTCTATTATATTATATAATAATTAATATTAATATTAACTAATCATAATTCACAATAAATATAAATTGCTTAATTATAAACAATTATTTCAAGTTATTTATTTTAACATCAATATTATCTTTTTCTTTTATATCTCATGAAAAAATTTCTTTACAAACAATTAATAAATTGTTTTAATAGCATAGTCAAACAACTTTAGTATCTTATAAATAATAATAAAGTTGTACCTTTAACCTTATCTAACAATTATTCAAAAATATATATACATAGGAAAAATTAAATTTAAATTAAAATTTTTACCAAATTTGTTGACGAGCCAATGAAGTCGCAACGAGCGCCCGAAGCTCTCCGCCCTTTGGGCCTCATGGGCTGAGCAGCCGCCTAGAAATTGATATATACATAAAAACAAATTTCCTTTTTCTCTAAAATGGTAAAATATTATAGAATAAATATTATGAGGTAGCTCAATGGTGACAAAAAGCTTACAAAATCTCATTTAAAAATATCTCAAAATCTCAAATGAATACACAAAACATTTTTCCAGACTCAAACTATCACATGATGAATATAAAATTAAAACAATAGTATCCATAATAAATTTGAAAACTAACCAAGTTTTTCAGTTGAGAGCCTGAGACAAATTGGGACTTAAGCCCAGTGAACTGTGGAAGGGAAGTCATGACATTAGCAGCCATTTTTATTTTTCTCTCTCTTTCACTCTTTTNATGCAACTAAAACTTCTATTCTTTAATTGTTTATTGTAGTTTTAGCTAAATCAATCTTGGTGTGTGTCATAGCCACATGAAGAGTTTGTGGCATGAAAATTACATGATTGGATTTGGAGATACTTGAGGCTGACGTGGCGCCTGAGTATTGGGTGGTCTCAATTGGATAAGAAATATTGTCAATTGGATGAGGATATACATTTGATACAAAGAGAAAATATCAAAGTGTTTGTATGGTAAACTAGTACGAAATATTAATTAATATTTATAAATTAAAATTTATTATTAAATAATATTTATAAATGAAAAACATGGAATTAATATGTAATACAATGTCCTATACTAATTTATTAAAAATGTTATATAAAACTTAAATTGTGCAAAATAACTTAAATTAGTACACAACCCGTGCATTGCACATAACTGATAATAAATTCAACTATATTCGTTGCAAAATATGTGTTATTTTAAAACTTTTATTCAGAAATTCAATTTGACTATAACGTGATTCCATAAAATAAAAAAATTGAACATATATTTAAAAATATATGTGAATAATAAGTATAAATATAAAACTTATATTGTTAATTAATTAAAATAAATTTATTTTTATATAAAATATCCAAATCAAAAAATTTAAGTAATTGAGTAAAAACAATCAGTCATAAGATATTTTATCCAAAAAATAGACACTCTTTATCATGCTAAAAAAAATGAACAGAGTAGTTCACACAAAATTATTTGAAATTTTGTAACAAAAAATGAATTAAATGGAGACCCACTAATTATACAAAAAAAGAGTTAACCATAATTTTTTCTATAAAAAAACATCGATATACACACATTATATCAAAATATATATTTTGTCGTAGTTACGATAATTTTATTATGTTAATTTCATACGAAAAATTAGAATAAAATGAAATCCACATCTAAAATCCAATATATTGATATGTGCATTACAAAAAAAAGTACATCGTATATTTATTAATTATTCGACAAATTTGATTTTTTCTACCAAAAAACAGTCATCAAATAACCTAATAAATTTGTTCACTTTATACCGTATATTATTATAGATTTGTTAGTAATATAAAGATAGATTTTTTTATTTCAATCTTAGGGATTTAAATATTTTCCAAAAAAAAATTAAAATACAATTAGGCAAGTTTTTTTGAAATTTAAAATTTAAATATAACAAATTCCATGATTTATGGTAGCATTAAATGCGGCATAATTTTTTTATTAAAAAGATGAAAAAAAAACATTCTAAAAATAGAATGTAATTAATATTCTCAAATTTTTTTGTTTACTATTTTTAGTAAATAGTAATTCTTATTATATATATACAGATTTCAACTAATTTGTGTTTGTTTTGTTCCATTACTAACATTCGTATGAGTATTTGTTTAATAACGATAAATATTTCAATGAGAGTAGTGGAATAAAAAATGTTCGTGATATAGAATTGAGGTATAAATAATGATTAAATTTGTTCGTTTATNACTTGATTGTTAATCGAACAAACACGAGAATATTCGCGAACATTATTGTATTAATTTAACTAGAACTTACTTATTTTTTAATATTTATATGTTTCCAACAACAATGCTCAAACACAAGCAAACACGAACTCAATAAGTTGAAACTTAACTCTTTTCGATTCGATTGCAACACATATTTACATATACTTTTTTGATTTTTCACATAAATCCATACTCTAATACAAGTGGAAATTGTATTTTTCTTGCAATTTTTACCAGAATTTAATTGATGTTGAAATCAAGGATATGAATTTTCTTTTCATCCCCTATTTTTTCACTTTGTAAAAAGAAACTATCCTCACTAACCTATGAACCTACCCCCATTTCACATAATAATTACGTTATTACCAGTTTTTTCCCCTCACAAGTTGACATGACCACGGGCTGAACCGTTCCATAACTGGCCTATTAGCCGCGGGCCTTTAACCGGCCCGTGGTTTTACTCGGCCCAGTTATGATTCAAACAAATACAAATGTCAAATCGGTAGTTCCAATTCCGAACAAAAACAAGAAACGAAATCGACAATTCGGCTTAACTTTTAATCCTTTTATTTCTTAATTATTTTTATAAATAAACCAAATTTGTCCGAAATCGACAATTCATTGAATCGACCCAGAATTGCCGGTTCATTGTACCGACCCGTATATATGATAGCGCCGATTCAAAGCCTCCAAAACTTCGGCTCGGAATCAAGGTTTGGTCAATGGCACACTGCTTACAAGTTGTTTCCAATTTCCTCTATTTTTTTTAAAAAATAAATAAAAAGTTTAACAAAAATACAAAATCAAGTACATACTCGATAACATTATCCGAGGTGGGCTTTTGCATTTGGCAGAGAGCTCTGCAAATCCACCAGAGTTGGAGCTTTTACAGCCCAATATAATCCTCTTTTAATTTAATATTTTCTGCACGAAGCCCATCATACCCATTCAGAGTCTTTCACAATCACAATTCACAGGTCCAATTACACCAGGAAAAAAAAATAAAAAATGAAACTTGACACATATTTTATTTTAGTGTTTTCTAGATAGTAATACTGAACTAGCAATCTATCTATATATATAATAAAAATTACCATTTACTAAAAATAGTAGCAAAAAATTTAAAAAACATTTAATGCATGCCATTTTTTGAAGCTTTTTAAATATATACATTAATTGCTTACATATACACGTTTTCAAATAAGATCAAGTAAGATATGATCAAAAAATTAAATAAATTTATTAATATCTGTAATATTTTCATTGATATTTATTATAATAAATTACAAGATTGATTTCCATGATCCATGTTGATAATTTTTTGGTCAAGATAAATATTATTTTGTTAATATTTGTAATACTTTCATTGATATTCATTATAATAAATTACAAGATTGATTTCCATGATCCATGTTGATAATATTTTGGTCAAGATAAATATTACACCATATTTTAAGTTCTAACCATAATATAATTTTTCTTTTTTCACAAATATTCACTTTATATACAAAAATATTTTTGGAAAATCGTACATGTTAGGTAGAATTGTTTTTCCAAGTAATCTGACAAAATCAAGTTGGTGAATCAATCTTTGCCAATATATTTTTTTCTTACGCTTTATTTTGTTAAATATAAAAAATAAAATTTCTTCAAATTAATATAATTTACCATTTAAGAGATAATGACCATATACATTAAATAGTTTTACTAATGGTAAAAAATTAAAATTGAAATATATTAACTATTTTTTAGAATTTATTTGTATATTATTGGCACCTATTTTTTTTATTTTGATTTATTACTATAATTAAATTCTTGTAAAATAAATTTTCATTGCAGAGTATGTTAAATAAACTATAAATCCTTATAATGCAAATTAGAAAAATCTTGATCATAGAAGAGATTGAGTTTTTGAAATTTTTTAAATCAAATTTGTTTAATTAGTATACAAAATTAAATTCTAAAAAAACATGTGTATATTTTGTAAAATATTTACACACTATTTACTTTTAAATTTATTTACATATTTTAAATTGATTACATAAATAAATAATACTAATGTGCATTAAATATTTTTTATTACATAAAATAAAAAGAAAAAGAAGACGTACAACTTCCATAACTTTATAAATAATAATGACATTATATGACAACAAAGTTTATACTAAAATAATAATTAAGTATGATATGGTGAACAAGAATAAGTAAAATTTTTTATTCTCTCTTGTATCAAGGAATAAATATATATATATATATATATATATATATATATATATATATATATATACACTAAAATCAAATTTATATGAGTATAAATGTATTAGTGAGATAATATATTAATTATTTTTACTACACTTAACGCCATTAAGAGAGGTGGGAAATATATGATAACCCTATTGCTTTATATATTCAAACGGACAAAGACTGTAAAATATATATATATATATATATATATATATATATATATATATATTTTTAAGTTTTTTTCTTTTTGCAATTTTTGGCTGATATATACGATTTGATGTTTTATTATTTAAAATACTCGTATAACAATATTACTACTATTACTTATTAAATTAATATTGTCAACATAGACATTGGGAGTCTTATTAACCTAATGATTTTGTCAAACAAGCCCTTGGATTTTTTGTTAACCAATTATAAATGATATAGTGATCTCATTTTCTATATATGTGGAAAAAATAACAAAAATATTCATGATATTTGAAGGCATACTACACTCAGTGCTGTTAAATTAAACGAACTTGATCTGGTTTGGTAAGACTCGAAAAGATAATTTTTATATATTTCTTATAATCCGTCTCGTAAAATTAAAGCTCGAGATCGACTCGTTAAGGCTCAAACTCAGTTTATTTATAATGATAAACGAGTCGAACTCGAACATATTTTTTGACTTATTTATTTAATGAGCCGACCTCGTAAAACTTTATTTGTATTTGTGCCTGACCAATGGCAATAACCAGCATGTATTTTAAACATTGCATAATGTTAGAAGTATATCAACTAAGACCTAATTAAGTCCAGGCAGTGTACACAGCCATACAGATTCAGAGTGAAAAAGGTCAAAAACAACAACAGTTGAAAGCTAGATTTAGAAAAATAACTAAACAAAGATATCATCACAAAAGCAACAGAATATACTTCACAATTTTACTGTGATTCTTAAACTAGAAAGAGAGCAAAGCATAATTAACCCAAACCAGGTTGCAACTTTTTTGTTGCCCATTAATTAAGCTGACAATATATATTAATTTATATTTTACAGCCATCTAAACCCAAGATACAAAAGTGTTAAAATCACACCAATCCTTCTCCATATACTCATTTCCTTAAATCCAAACACAGAAGAGGATGAAGATTTCATAGACCTGCAGACAACATGTATTTATAAAGATCAAATAAAAATTCTAAATTAAATAAGCTATGATTTATTAATGTCACAATTTTTTGTGTAGCTAATTAGCTATTATCAGTTATGTAACTCACTCTGACGTGGCAAACTCACATCTTGCATAACCTGCATTGAGAATTACTAAATTTGATTAATCAAAACCATAATCACAAACAGTTAGTGCATGGTTGGATACAATTTTTTTTTTTTTAAAAACAATCATTTTTTTTTGTAATTCAAATTTAACTCAATTTTAAGTCAACTTAAATCTTCTATTTATCAATATAATTACAATAACACCAACTTTAATTCACTAATTCATTTACATAATTTTAGCTAGTCAATCGTTTTTACAATAACATCAATATTAATTTATTAATCCACTCAACTCACATAATTTTAGCTAGCCATCACTTCACGTCATCTATCTCCTATTTTACATAAAATCAAAATTAATTATTTTATTTTAAATATTATTTTAATATTAACTCAAAAGTCAAAATCCTATTAATAATTAATTAATCATACTATTTTTTTTTTCAAAATATAAACAAAATCAGTACATCTTATGTAGCGAGTTCGGCTTGCTATCAAACAAGTAAAGTTGAACTCGAACATTAACAAGCTGAATCGGACCAAACTCACGAACAACTCGTTTCGTTTAACAAGTGAACTTACTTGGATTAGTCCGAGTTAAAACGGCGGTCCCTCCGAAGTAACAAGCAATATCGGAATTGCCATTTTGTTGGTAGTAGCTATTGAAGGCATAGGAAGCATGGGAATGCAGGTTATTGGGCTCAAAGCATGGGCCTCCAGGCTGGATTGGGCTACATTCGGCTCTGCCAAATCCACAGGCCCAATCCAATGCGATCTGCAGATCAATCAATGACATTCCGGGCCGGGCCACGCACCACGATGTGCCGTCGAGAAACGTTGTGTTTCCCTCCGGTGGAGAAAGAGTTGAAAGAGGGACATTTGCCTCTGCCTTTTGATCTTCTACNGATTAAACGGAATAGATAATACAAAAATACAATAATGAAACACAATCGCAACAAATAGCACGATTTGATTACACATCAATCTGTTATTTTATTTTTTTTTTTTGTTTTAAAATTTTAAATGAGTAAGAACAAAATGAATAAATGAGAAAATATAAGGGGAAAAAAAAAAAACATAGCAAAAGGATGAAAAGGGAGAGCAAGAACAACATACCCATAAAATGTTGTAAAGCTAAAATTTTGAAAAGTAGCCATAGAGACTTTCTCATGGATGAGAACAAGCTTGAGTTAGTTTTGAGGAGATTAAGTATGATAATACAGAGACTGTGTTTGACTGTGTGTAATGTATGTGTGTATATATATGATAGAGATGTGTGGTAATGATACTCTGTATTTAATGTGGTTAAGTTGATGAAGAATCAATAGTTACTTCAACTTAAATTTTCTAACTTTTTTTTATGTCTAATCTTTTGTCTCCTTCCTTTTTATTTCCTGTGGTAGTGTCACTGACATATCTAGAGATTGAAATAGAGTAGAATAGTAGGAAAAGTTAAGAGGTGACTCTACAATTAATAATTATAAATAACAAATTAAAACAATAATAATAGATACTTTTTTTGTTTTCTCCAATCAAGTGATTGTAATTCAATTTTTATGGCTAATTAACTTTTACATGCCTCAAACTTTCATTGTTCTTTTCATTTTCCTTCTTTTTATTAAATCATATTTTTTAACTAGCATACAACCCAAATAATATTACACAATAACATTTATCTTTTCCGTAGAAAATTCATGTCAAGAATTAAAACGTTACACAATAACATATGTTCTTGTCAAAATTATTCACATATTTCACATTTGATAGTAGAAACAACTGGTTTCCATGACACAACATTCTATGATATCAAAGTGTCACGTAGTCGCATGCAAGATTGCAAGTGCAAATGAAATCATAAAAATGTCAAATTTGCAACTTAAAAAAGAAAAAATGGCAATTTTTGATTTTTCTGGGTTAATTTAAGTAGCTTCTCAATTTTATACTCATGGATGGTAATTAATGTTTAACAGAACAAATTTAAGTAGGCTCCTTTGGGCCGGTTATTGGCGTCCGCATTACGCATTTATGGGCCCAAAGTTGGGCTGTAAGCCTGCAAACGATTTTAGAAAAAAACAAGAACAAAGAAAATAGAAATATAGAGAGGGAAAGGAGGCTAGTCACAGTCTCACAGCAAACTCCACCCCGCCGTGTCACGCCGCCGCCGCCGCCGCCGCCGCCCTTAGCCATCTACCCTCCGGTGCTAACTCGGTAGTTCTCAGATATTTCTTGACAATTAACAGCTCATATCATACGAATTCTTGAAAAATGTTCTCTCTTATACCTCTTGCATATGAATTGAACAGTTTCTTCTCATTCCTTGAAGGGCTCCCAGTTGAAATTACTGACCCTCGTAGCAGTTGTCTCTTACATCCTTGGATTTCTCGGCCGACAAATTTAATTTTCGCGTGGAGGGCTTCATATAGAGAACAGCAATGAATACGGCTTGTAGAGCAAATACAGAGTTACCCCACTGTGTGACGAATCTGTCTAACCCGGGCTCGCTCAAGACTCGTAAAGGCAGTTCATCTAAAGGATTGTTGCCTTTCTTGCCCAGTAGTCGCAAGAAAGGAGTGCAAAACATAACGGGGAGTATGAAAAATAGTGTCGTACTTTCGGCTTCAAGCAATACTAAGAACCATGTTCACACTGCTGGTGAAGAAGACAAAGGCGAGGCCCTTACGTACAAGGATGCTGGCGTCGACATTGATGCTGGTTCAGAACTTGTTAGGAGGATTGCAAAAATGGCTCCTGGGATTGGAGGTTTTGGAGGGCTCTTTCCTCTGGGTATGGTTATCAATTTCATTTCATGATTTTGATAGATTAATATGCTGCTATTGTATAAGTCATTGGACTGGATGAACTGGTCTGTGAGTATTGTTGTATTAGGGTTCTACTCCCTATTGTTTAGTGGATTAATGTCTTATTTCATGGGATATGTTGTAGTATCATGAAACGATTCAATTTTTATTGTGACCTTTGATTTTCCGAAAGATTGTGAGCTCTTTTGATGTCGTTTTGCGGTGGGGGAAGAGAGAACACTTGCACCCTTGACTTTTTGTGTCGTTTTATCTGATTCTTGATTATTGTCTAGTTTCTTAGGGTATGTTGTTGTAATTTCGTGGAAAGTTTCAATTTTTATTTTGACCTTTGATTTGCTGAATGATTGTGAGCTCTTTCGATGTCAGTCTGCGGTAGGGGAAGAGAGAACACTTGCACCCTTGACTTTTGTGTCGTCTTATCTGAATCTTGATTATTGTCTAATTTCGTAGGGTATGTTGTTGTAATTTCGTGGAAAGTTTCAATTTTCATTTTGACCTTTGATTTGCCGAATGATAGTGAGCTCTCTCAATGCCGGTTTGCGGCGGGGGAAGGGAGAACACTTGCAACCTTTGAATTTGCATTGTCTTATCTGGGTTCTTGAGTTGCATTGGCTGGATTTTGATTCTTCAACATATAACTTATGATCTGAGAAAATTTAGCATGTTAATCGTTACGCTGACCAATTTTTGAACTGCATCATCAAGATTTAACGTTCAATTTGGAACTTTTGTGGACTCCAATTACTGATTCTTTATATATGAGCTTGCTAATTGGCATCCTGTTCATCTGTTAGCTGTGTTCTTCTAGCTTCCGCACTTCATTTCTAGGATCTTGGCACGACCCCACCAAAACGTACACTCTGAATATTTTATTTATATTTTTTCTTGTCCCTTTTCAGACTTTTTTTTTCTTCATTTTTTCTTTTTCTTTCGACTTGATTTGGTGTTTTTTCTTATATTTATATGTAAATGTAATTACATTTTTGGTGCTTCACAGGAGATTCTTATCTAGTCGCTGGCACTGATGGAGTTGGGACCAAACTTAAGCTAGCTTTCGAGACTGGAATCCACGATACTATCGGCATTGATTTGGTAACAAAGAGTGCCACGAAGTTTCGCATGTTATTTATTAATAACATGGCTAGTAATTCAAGTATTCATTATCCGCTAGTAATCCCAGTATATGTTTTCAGGTTGCAATGAGTGTTAATGACATTGTGACTTCTGGGGCAAAGCCTCTGTTTTTCCTTGATTACTTTGCCACAAGCCGACTTGATGTTGATCTAGCAGAAAAGGTATAATCTTTTTTCGACCCCCATCCTTTTTTTTTAATTATATTTATCAGAAAGCCACTGTAATTTTTTTTAAAGGATAGAGGACATTTAACAATCATCTTTTGTGTACGAATCAGGTCATCAAAGGCATAGTTGATGGTTGCCAACAATCTGATTGTGTTCTTCTCGGTGGAGAGGTATTCATTTCGACTTTCTATATTCTGTATGAAATTTGTTTTTAAGTTAATTTCGAGCTTATAGCTGATAGCTTATGACTTATGGCTTAAAAGCTAGCTTATATGATAAAAGTGTTTTGTAAAATTAGTTGATAAGCTGAAATAAAAATTTCAAGCTTATGAGATAAACTCGAGCTTTTTAAAAAAGTTCGTCCTCACCAAACCAAAATTATTTGAATACATAAAGCTTATAAACTAATCAAATAAGCTATAAGCTAACTTATATGCTTACCAAATACAGCTTCAGTAAGCATAATCCACGTAGAAAAATTATTACCACGAGATACAAGACAATACATCATTTGACTTTGAGTCGGTTTATCTTGGTTTATCTTTTAGACAGCTGAGATGCCCGATTTTTATGCGGAAGGTGAGTATGATCTGAGCGGTTTTGCTGTCGGCATAGTGAAAAAGGACTCAGTCATTGATGGGAAAAACATAGAGGTCGGGGACATCCTAATAGGTCTTCCCTCAAGTGGGGTCCACTCGAATGGGTTCTCTCTTGTCAGAAGGTTTTAACTTTTAAGACAATTGCACATAAGTCGAAACATACTCCAAACTCGACCGTTTTTCGAAACTATTTTCTACTTATTTATTTTATTATTATTGATTTTTTTTTAATCCAGGGTTCTCAAACGAAGTGGTCTCTCTTTGAAAGAAAATTTACCCGGTTCGTCTGTTACGCTTGGTCAAGCTCTAATGGCACCCACGGTTATATATGTTAAGCAGGTATATCTTGATTATTTTATTTGTTTCCTCCTTTTTTTTTTTAATCTAATGGTAAATTTCGGAATACAGGTTCTTGATATTATCGGCAAAGGTGGGGTGAAAGGGATTGCTCACATCACAGGCGGTGGTTTTACCGATAATATACCGCGTGTTTTTCCGAAGGGTCTCGGAGCCCTCATATACGAGGATTCGTGGGCCGTTCCCCCTGTTTTCAAATGGATTCAAGAGGTCAGAAGAATCTTATATAAACTACCATTAATTGCACACAAGACCCTCCATTTTAAGCCCAACTTCACAAACATACCAAAACATAAAGCATTTGTCTTTAAAATTACGGAATAATTGGAGATTTAGTCCTGTAACTGACACCAAATTACACCATAGTGCTTGCATTGATTTTACAAAACACCCTGTAACTGCAAAAAAAAACTGACTTTTGGTCGGCAAAAGCCACTCAATTTGACCTGGATATGTTAGTCGGGGCTACATGTATTAAAAAAAAAAAAATTGCCGATGGAAGGACCAAAGGTCAAGTTTGGTGTTTTGTAAAGCCAACGTGATCACCAGACTATTTCTTAATTATGTATCATTTAGAGCACTAAATCTCTAATTTTTTCTTAAAATTACATTGGTAATTTTTTTGAAAAGTAAAAGCTAAACTTTGTAATGTAATGATATGTTTTATATATTTTTTTAATTTTTGAGATTTTTTTTTTAGGCTGGAAACATAGAAGATTCGGAAATGAGGCGAACGTTTAATATGGGTATTGGAATGGTGTTGGTGGTGAAGGAAGAAGCCGCCTTACGAATACTCGGTGACGACCTTTCGAAAAACTCAGCCTTTCGTATAGGCGAGGTAGTAAGTGGTGAAGGTGTGAGGTATCGATAATTCATTTCGTGGTACATGAAAAATCTCATATTCTAATAATCGAGAAATTTTGTTGAGTTCATGGAAAAGTTGTGGAGTTTCAGGTCTTTTGCTACTTATCCATGTGGAACCTAGTGAGTACTTCATTTTTGTTGTGTTGTGTGTGTGTGTTTGTGCTTCATTTT